CCAGCCGTTATTTGATCACACTTTCTGATGGATTTTACTTGCCAAGAGCTTCGCGGGAAAAACGAGCGCATGCACCGTTGAAAAAATTGAGTGAAAGGGTCTCAGGTCCGGCGACCTCTGCAGGTGAAATGCCCCAGGGTAGGATTCCGGTCCTTGTTGATTAACTTCGTCAAAAATGGCAGTAGAGCTGTGATGTCGGCACCATTGTGTTCGTCATGATCGAGCTGGCACGACCTGCATCGTTCTCATATTCACCCTCCAATCGTAACAACTACAGCAGGGATTGGCAAATGGCGGGGCACCCCCTTTGGAAGGTAATGAAGGTCTCTGGAAACCTCATCCCACATCTCTTTAGCATTAGTGGCTCTTCTTATGGAACAGGTTTCTTGACTGGTCTGTTTCACCCTGGGGGAGCCGATGCTATATCCAATTATAAGGTCTTGGGCTACTGCGTGCTTTTTTGGTCCTGCCTGTGATCTATCCGAACACTTTTTCCCACAAGTGCTGGGGTTAAATGGCATAGATTTCAAATGGTTCCTGTGGTAGAACTGCCATGCTTGAATTTGACTAATTAGGAATGGAAAATTTTCATATAGTAACGGAAATCTATGGAATTTCAGTGAACTTGGTATTATCGGCAATGGGGTCTGGCAGTGGGGTGGGGAGGTAATAAGTAGGTAATAACCCTGCCTGGCGCCCCAAAAAGGGGGCACGATCCCCGAGGCCCTGCCGATCACCTTATAACTACAGGCATCACAGCTCCACACCTTTTGCAGATGGCCAGGACCCCCTGCGATGCATCCCAACAGCAATCTTTATTCAGAACCTGCCTTGATTAACCAACGATGCATTAAATGCGACGGATAGCTCTATAATGCATTGTTATCAACTATTGAACGGGCCTCGCCGATAGGGGGGTACTGTACCCCCCTAACTTTCGATAGCGGGGGACCTGTCCCCCCCGTCCCCCCGGTGGCGCCGCCCATGGCTAGTCTATATTATGAATTATAAGTTGTCCGTCCAATCTCCATCCGTGTGTCATGACTTATGTGTCTTATTGCGCCGGAACGGCGCCGCGTATCGGCGTGAAATTTGGCATGCCAAATCTGTGGGCGTGGGCGGCCTTTGTATTAAAATTTGGGCGTGATCGGACCAGGGGTGCGCCGTCAGCACGCGCTCGCGTGCGCCATAGGGTTAACACGGGAAACGGTCAAATCGAAGATCGGGCGAAAACCGGCCTGCGGCGCCCGCTTCCCGGCTGTATAAATCGGCAACGGAGGGTCGCAGCGAGAAGCGGTTTACACCACTCGATAGAGGAGAGATGGGCCTAGCGTATTGATATGGTTTCATAATATAGCACGCGCCACGTGCAAGACAGCACCCCCGGTTGTGAAAAAATGACCGATTTCGTGCATTGTGACGGGAAAAGCGATGCCGCTGGAAAACGGCTTGACGGAATGAAATCGGTGTTGTATCATTTTGCAGACAAATGCATGTGTTATCAGAGAATAGCAAACAAAAACTGATGATCCGTACCATTTCATTAATAATGAAAAATTAATTTGAAAATTTGATTCGCGCGGAGCGCGACGTCCTTTACAACATCAAAACGTATTGAAAACGCTGATCAATCGCTATAAAACCCACATATTCGGAAAGAGCATTCATTTCTGACCAATATCCACCCAAAATATTATCGAAAAGTCAATAAACTTTTGTGAAAATGACTCAAACATACGACCGTGTTTCGTTAACGTTACGGGTATTTTTCGACAAAATCCATCGATGGCTTATGGCCGGCAGGTCATACAACTTCTGACAATAGCTATCAAAGCATGGGCTGCAATGCACCGCCCGCCCAGCGGAAACCCAAATACTTGAAATAAGCGCCTACCAGTAAACAGCACATTATTGTACTAGGAATAACTCCGCTACTACTGGGCCGATTGCGCTGAAACTTGGACTGTGGGTGGAGGGGGCATTAATCTGGCGGTGCATGGTCGTTTGTGACAGGTAGGGTGGATCGATTGCACGTGCGCACGTGAGGGGTCCGCTTCCACATCTCAAGAACGGCTGGGCCGATTTCGCTCAAATTTTGTTTACTGTTGGGGGACAATTTAGAAAGGTGGCTGGCACAAGTCATATGGAGTCTCAGCGCGTGCGCACGTGCAGTGGGCCAGTTTGATATCTCAAGAACGGCTGGGCCGATCGCGCTCAAATTTGGTACGTTACTTTAATCGAGTATGAGAAGGGTAACTATGTGTAAGTTATTAGTAAGGTAGGGTATGGGTAGGTAAGGGTAGGGTAGCTTTGAGCTCGATAAAGGAAAACCACGAGAAAGGCGCTAACAACCCGCAACCAGCACCAGCATACCATGCCGTTCAAACAAATATCCAACTCCGACAAAATAATACAAATAAAAATCAGAAGTTCCCACACCCAAACTAATGCCCCCTCAAACGCATCTATCAAAACGCACAGTTATAGCGCAAAACATGCCATCTAGTCTATATTATGATTTATAAGTTGTCTGTACGATCTCCATCCATCCGTGTGTCATGTCTTATGTGTCTTATTGCGCCTGAAAGGCGCCGCGTATCGACGTGAAATTTGGCATGCTGAATCTCTGGGCGTGGGCGGCCTTTGTATTAAAATTTGGGCGTGATCGGACCAGGGGTGCGCCGTCGGCACGTGCAAAAGGGCGCTCTCATAGGGATAGCATGGTGTCGGCGAGAGCGGCGGTCGACCGAAAATCGGGCCGACACGGCTCGCTTTCCGGCTTGATATCTCGGCAATGGGTGGACGCAGCGAAAAGCGGTTGCCACCAATGGATAGAGGAGAGATGGGCCTAGCGTATTGATATGGTTTCATAGTGTAGCACGCGCCACGTGCAAGACAGCATCCCCGGTTGTGAAAAAATGACCGATTTCGTGCATTGTGACGGGAAAATCGATGCCGCTGGAAAACGGCTTGACGGAATGAAATCGGTGTGGTGCCATTTTGCAGGCAAATGTACGTGTAATCAGAGGATAGCAGATAAAAGGCGATGATCCGTACCATCTCCTTAATAACGAAACATTAATTGGAAAATTTATTTCGCGCGGAGCGCGATGTCCTTTACAACATCGAAACGTATTGAAAACGTTGATCAATCGCTATGAAACCTACATATTCGGAAAGAGCATTCTTTTCTGACCAATATCCACCCAAAATATTATCGAAAAGTCAATAAACTTGGGTGAAAATGACTCAAACATACGACCGTGTTTCGTTAACGTTACAGGTATTTTTCGACAAAATCCGATCGATGGCTTATGGCCGGCAGGCCATTCAAATTTTGTTAATAGCTTTCAAAGCATGGGCTGCAATGCACCGCCCGCAAAGGGGAATTCCAAACACTGAAAATAAGCGCCTACCAGTAAACAGCACATTATTGTACTAGGAATAACTCAGCTACTACTGGGCCGATTGCGCTGAAACTTGGACTGTGGGTGGAGGGGACAATAACCTGGCGATGCATCGTCATTTCTGACAGGTAGGGTGGATCGATTGCACGTGCGCACGTGAGGGGTCCGCTTCTACATCTCAAGAACGGCTGGGCCGATTTCGCTCAAATTTTGTTCACTGTTGGGGACAATTTAGAAAGGTGGCTGGCACAAGTCATCTGGAGTCTCAGCTAGCGCGTGCGCACGTGCAGTGGGCCAGTTTGATATCTCAAGAACGGCTGGGCCAATTGCGCTCAAACTTGGTACGTTACTTTAATCGAGTATGAGAAGGGTAACTATATGTTATTAGTAAGGTAGGGTATGGTTAGGTTAGGGTAGGGTAGGGTGGGTTTGAGTTCGATAAAGGCAAACCATGAGAAAGGCTCTAACAACCCGCAACCAGCACCAGCATACCATGCCGTACAAACAAATATCCAAGTCCGACAAAATAAGACAAATAAAAATCAAAAGTTCCCACACCCAAACTAATGCCCCCTCAAACGCATCTATCAAAACGCACAGTTATAGCGCAAAACATGCCATCTAGTCCTTTATTAAATCAATTTATTGAAAACAGCAGAAAGCCAGCTAAGCGGAAGTGCCTAACTACGAAAGTGGCGCGGCGCGGCGAATAAACAAAATATCATGCATCACATGATATTTTTATCAAATATCATGTGATCCCTTGGGGTCAGTTGAGATTATGTTTTGGTGAAGGTCAGGTAAAGGTCAGGTCAAATTTCAAAGTTAATATCTTTGCATAAAATGGGTATTGATTCGATGCAGCTCGTCAGGGGAGTTCAATGGTGGTCTTTGTTTTGCGCTACGTGGTCTAGAATTGCTAAAAATTGAGTTCAAACTCTTTTTTTCAAACTCAACTTTGGGCACATAAAAAGGGGTCACGGATGCCATTTTTTGGTTGATTGTCTCATGTTTACTTGTAACTCGGTTTTTGAGAGTGTTGAAAATAAAGTTTGTTCAAAAGCCGATCTTTTTTCCCTGACTTTATTGGAGAGGGTGCAAAATTGGGCCCTAGGTCACCGATATCAAAATACCGAGATATACGTTTTTTATTACATACTGCTGTGCTTAAGAACTTCTGAATGTTTCAAACCGATCCGTCAGTCGGTGTAGTATGACAGGCGTTGAAACTTTTCTGGAGGTGAGGTCACTTGATGTGATTTGTTGACCTGACCTTGAGAAAACTTGGTCTGAAATTATCACGTCATGTGCCGAAACGATGTATGATACGGTGTGCATAAGGTGTAGATGTGATAGCTGTGATGTAGCACACCTCAGGATAAGGTGTGATGAGGTGTGATGAGGTGATGAGGTGTAAGGTGTGATGAGAACGTTTTTGAGATATTTGCGAAAAATTGTATGCACCTTGACATCTTTGCCTCCTCCAGCATAGCGCAGATTAATGTTTTCATTGCGTGACCTAATGATATTGACTGCTGTTTTTTTCTGGGGGTTGTTTTCCACTCTGAGTTCTTTCTTTCTGTCCCCTATCAGGAAGCTGCAGGACAGTTTTAACAAGATGAGCTCAGTGGACGGCAAGAGGATGTTCTGGTCGCACTTCCGTGTCGGCTTCTACGGGCTCAAGTTTGGCGACCTGGACGGTCAGGAGTTTGTCTACAAAGAGCCGGCGCTCACCAAGCTGGCGGAAATCTCCAGCCGACTAGAGGTCAGAGACGACACGCTATCACACAAGCTTGCTGGCACTTCCTATCCCAAATAATGTGTATCAGTTGATGTATATGCACATTGCACACTTGCACCACACGTTTTTTTTTTCAAGCAATGTGGCGTGCTGTATACCAAACCTTTCGCCGCAGACTTATTAACCCGCGCACCGACGGGAGTCTGCGCCAACTTAGAACCGACGGGGGGGGGGGCGGGGGTGGTTGACGCCCCCCCCCCGAGATCTCGAAAACTAAGCGAGATAGAGACAAGCGGTAAACGGCACGGCGTACGAACGGACAAGGTTTACAATTTTTACTGAGGTCATTTTCAGCTCAGGTCAAAGATGACATCACAATTTACAGGGGTCGAAAAAGTCAAAATGGTGGCGCTAGATATGAGGAGAGTTTTTTTTTAATAACTTTCGAAATTACTTACCGGAGGGCTCAAAACAGTCGAAAATGTCTTAAAATGCCAAACATGAGTTTCGTTATGCCTGAGGCTAAAAAGCCTAGAGGGCTGAGGATATCAATCAGGTCATCTGGACTGACTAGTCCACGTTCGAGATTAAACACTCGTTCAAACCCAAAACGGCCCCATAAGGGCGAAGGAGGAGTGGAGGCCTCCGTTTCGTCCCGGTATGTTCCTATGCAATAGGCCAGGGTCGCGGTGTTGTGAGATTATAGGCGTTCTGGCATTGACCAAGTTGCAAGTGGCAACCCAGAAACAGCTTTTGGGCGCAGGCTGCTTCACCACGAAGTTGTAGAGGAAGTCTCTGCTTTCTGGCTTAACTCATACCGCAAGTATGAACTCCATTTTGGAGGAGAAAATGGCATCCGGGACTCGGGAGGTCGTTGTTGGCCCATCTTCAAGCAAGACGGGCATCGGCGCATAGGTCAAGAAAAGCTCATCAATGGTTCCAAGAGACTGTGACAAGCGCCTATCGCAAGATCACATGCCAGGCAACTCATAAGATCGAAATTTGATAAAAATATGTTGGGACTTGGGAATGCCGAAATTGGGGCTTATCGAAGCGAAGCGCTGTTCCAGCCTCCAGGAGCTCACGGCGCATGTCAGGCCAGTGAGGGCTAACTTCAAGTCGGCCACGCTGCAAAACATGGCGGCTGGCATGGCGCAGCGTGTATCCATGTGTTTGCCCATGAAATGAGGAGCACATTGAGTGTTCATAAATATACCAAAACGCAATCCTACTCCGTTTTACATGCGAATATAATGTGAGAACGAACTTATGGGACACCCTGTACATGGTGCATAGTTACTAGTATAGGGCGCCCAGTTTGATACACGTTTCGCCAGCCTCTTTTTTAGCCAACGCAAGATGTTGAGAATTGGTCATTTGGGTCATGACATGACCTGAAAAACAAGGTCATATCTCCTAAACCAAAAACCACAGAAACCTGAAATTTTCAGTGGACATCAAGAAAGGATAGAGAAGCAGCTATGCGAAAAATCAGGCTTCTAGCTCTAAAAATGTTGAGTGCAGAGCAGAAAGACTACCGGGGCGGGGGGGGTGTGGCAACCGCTTCCATGACAAAATATCGAAACGCAAAATATCGAAGCGCAAAATATCGAACGCAAATTATCGAAAGCAAAATATCGAAGTCGCAAATTATCGAAATTGCAAAATATCGAAATCGCAAAATATCGAATTGCAAAATATCGAAATCGCAAAATATCGAATCGCAAAATATCGAATTGCAAAATATCGAAATCGCAAAACATCGAACAGCATAATATCGAAAGCAAAATATCGAAACGCAAACTATCGAAACGCAAAATACCGAAACGCAAAATATCGAAAGACAAAATATCGAAAGCCAAAATATTGAAAGACAAAATATCGAAAGACAAAATATTGAAAGACAAAATATCGAAAGACAAAATATCGAAAAGGCAAAATATCGAACGCAGAATATCGAAAAGACAAAATATCGAACGCAAAATATCGAACAGACAAAATATCGAACGCAAAATATCGAAAAGGCAGAATATCGAACGCAGAATATCGAAAAGGCAAAATATCGAACGCAAAATATCGAACAGACAAAATATTGAACGCAAAATATCGAAAAGGCAAAATATCGAACGCAAAATATCGAAAAGGCAAACTATCGAACGCAAAATATCGAAAAGACAAAATAACGAACGCCAAGTGTCGAAAAGGTAAAATATCGACTTGAAATGGCCCTCTGCGGACTCCTTAGAGCTCTGTCGAACTCATCGGGCCCTCTGTTATCTGTAGGCCTCAAAGAGCAATCAGCGGGTCCATGACAGACTTGGAAAACTGATATTTTTGTAGATCTCAGCAGTGGCGGCGGAAGGTAATTTCGGATCGGGGTGCAAAGTTTTCTCAAGGGGCCCCTCTGGAAGTTTGGCCCCGCCCCGATATTTTTTAGAGTGATTATCATTGCTTTATGAAAAACGAAGATTTTGGAAAACTATCCCCAAACACACAAGTTCTGCAAAATATTTGAAATTACAGTGTACCTATCTCAAATAAAGCATAACGAAGCAAATGCAGCTAGTTTTTATCATCTAATCTTGTTTTAGTCTAGCCACACCCTCAGCATCTCAACCCACTTTTCTGGATCCGCAGTGGACCATTAAGGGCCCTACGAGACCGTTCTTAGAAGACCGTGTTTAAAAGCCCCTTGGAAACCGACCCCTTAGATGCTCCTCCAGAGACCTACATGACTCCCCAGACCGAATGAGCCCTCCGACCAGGGTCGGTCCCTCAGAAGTCTGACCTTGACCGCCGCACGGTCCGGGTCGCCTCCCGGCTACCCTCGCTCGGGTTGTTTGTCCGAATGTGCGGCTGAGGGACGGTGTGGCCGGGGCGCATGGCAGTAGTGAACGGTGGGCTCAGATGAAGTGCGGTGAAAAGTGAGCTCAGTCAGGTCCCCGAGTGAACCTTGCGATTTCAGCGGCAAGTTCGAAGTTGTCGGACTTGGAAGATGTCGCTCGTTACCGGTGACGAGCTGACGGACTCGATGTTCAGTGATGCGGAGACGGGTTCGGCAGAAGAGAGGACCCGTGCCCAAGGGAAGCGACACAGACAGCAGTCCATTTCGGATATGCTGCCTGCGACCGAGAAAAAGCAAAGGACACGTAAGTCTCCCAAGTCCAAATCCTCCCTGAGCCCTGAGATGATGCAATATATGAGGGACGTGATTGAAAAGACAATTGAATCAGCTTTGGAAAAGCAGTTTGCGACATTGACAAAGCACCTTGAAAAAAAGATCGAGTCACAAGAGAAAATTATCAACAAAATAGAGAGCGAAATGTTTGAACAGGCCAAAATCATTGAGAAACAAGAAGATGAACTGGCAGCTCTCCGAAGGAAAGTGGAAGGTTTAACGGAACAGGTGGATGACAACGAACGTAACGAGCGGGGAAAGAGTCTGGTCCTGTGGAGCCGCCGGTTCGGACCGAGGCGTGAAGGAGAGGACATCCAGGGTAAGGCTCTCGATATCCTCAGGTCCGGCTTTCCACACATTCCCCTGAAGGCGGAAGATCTGTCTGTCACCCACCGCTTGGCTAAGGATAACTCGGTCATTTGCTCTTTCTACAGCAAGGATTTGCGTAATAAGCTGTACGAAGGAAGGCTTAACCCGCGCCCGGCTGGGGGTCCTGGATTTCCACGCCCTGCTGGGGGGGGGTGTTTGAACACCCCCCCTTCTAACTCGGCTCCTGGGCCACGTAGCGATACGCGGAAGGCGGCGTTCGAAAGAGCGTCAAAAATAATGACGAAATCACTTCGGTCAATTTTTTGGTCAGGTCAAAGGTCAGGTCACCAGAGGTCATTGAAGGCAAAATTTCGCCGATTTCCGGGTCGAATGTCGAAAATTTCCAAGAAGCCAACGCATAACTCGGGAACCAATAGAGCTACAGCGCCGCGGAAAAGCGCATTCGATAGCCCTATTAACGCCCTTTCTGAGTAATTCTCTCAGATTTGACCTAACGTCAACGGTTTTGCCTGCAGGGGGCAAAAACTGCAAAAATAGACGATTTTTTCGGAAACAGTTTTTCTGCAATAACTTTTGACCCAAGCCTTGTACGAGCTTACTTTTACCGGCATCGTGTTCCTCTCGTCAAGACGCATCGAATGAACTATAACTTGACCTTGAAAGGTCAACTTGAAAATTTGACCTCAGGTCAAGGTCATGACCTGACCGGAAAGGGTCATTGTTATAGCGTGAACTAAGCTCGGCACCACAGCACCACACTCCTCCGATCACCGGTCAGAACTGTATTCCCATTCGATCAGCTGACCAGACTCAACCCACACCGCACAGCTGAGCGCCCCCGGCTATAGGTCAAGCGAGCGCAAGCCCGCTCTCAGGGACGACGGATAGGGCGGCCAGTGGCGCACCCAGGCACGCCAGCCAAGAGGCTGTGTGACAATCTACCACATTCCTCCCCCTAGTTCACAACTATTTTCTCGGTCTCAGGTTATAGCGCGGTACCTGCGGCGCTGACACAGGCTCGCGACACTCAACACTCTCGCCTCGCGACAATTGGACGTCACACTTCAATCGCGAGTTGAGCTCACCCCGTCCCTCCCACCCACGAGCCGGCCGCCCCACTGGGAAGGGAGACGAAGGCCTCTCCCGTTCCGGACATTCCGCTGGCGGTGGCGGAAGCGGCGTGGGAGTCGGCGGGGAAGGCGTCGGCGGTGAGGGCGTCGGCGGTGAGGGCGTCGGCGGTGAAGGCGTCGCCTGCGACGTTGGAGTTGTCGGCAGCGACGTCGGCGGCGTTTGAGGAGGCCGCGGCGCCGCCGTCCAGTCCGTCGGCTGTCGGACGGCCTGGTTCCCGGTGACCGCTCTCGGGACCACCTGGTCCAGATGGCGCTGGAGGACTCGTCCGTCGTCCAGCCGGACCGTGAGCTTGAGTCCCGAGATGTTGATGCAGTGTCCGGGCAGCCAGCGTGTTGTCCTGCCGACGCCGGCCAGTCCCGACACCTGTGAAACGAGGACAGACATT